TACTGGGGCGCATGGAGGTTAGCGCATACTTGCCCCCGACACACCCCCCATCTTTTGTCCGGCTGCCTGACGACGCCGGATCCGCTAATCAATAATATGCCTATGCGTTTCCCGCCAAGCGTTGCCTAGTCTTCATAAAAGTCGTCTTGTGAACTCTTTGTTCACTGTGCCTGCACGATGATTTTTGGTTGGTTTGACGAATCTTGGAAGTTGAGAAAAGAAATGGCTGCTACACACAAAATATGAAATCGAAATACAGAATGTATCTTTTGCACTAGTATATATTGAACTGCTTTTTTTTCATTCCAGGTTTGTCCATCTTATTGTCTTATTATTTGCAATAATTGCACTCGATAACTGGTTTCTGTTGTACATTTATTTGCAGCCAAAATAAAAAAAATTGATTTAAAAGCTGATTTTTCCACAATGATTTGTGCTATCAAATCGTTTCACCAACTCCATTCCGTTTTGTTGAATGCTTGAGAGGGATAGTAAATCGGCATTGTACCTGAGGCCTATATTTTTTTTTTCAAGGATATGTTGTGTCCAGTGTGACGGATACCTGCACCCAAAGAATGACCGTTTTCAGTAATTTCCCCACTCAAGTGCGTTCGTGAATTTCGATTCCATTGCCATTTTTGCTACGTGGCCTCGGCTTGCGCAGGATGGACACAGCAGGCCTCGAGGACAAACTCCGGGCACCAAGGCCGGAGTGGCCTGGAACACTCAAAGCAGGAGTACACGTTCACAAGTGTACAGGCGTACAGTCCCAAGCATGACATGTCATTGCACCCTGCAGTATGGTTGGATACCTTGACTTCACTCCCTGGTATCTGTTTAAATTATTATTTTTTGATATCTGCATACATGATACCACTAAAGGTGAGCCAAAGACAAAACACCTGGCAATCACCACTTTGCAAGTTTTCGTTACCTTCCCAATTAACAACACACAAACTGAAAAAAGCAAAGATAAGAGGCGTGGCAATAGAGGACGCCTTAATGCGGCTCCCCCAAACTTGATTCGCGTGGGCCAGGATTATCAGCGTCGACTGAGACATGGCCCTAGACATTGGCTAATGCCCTTCATGCCCATTTTTTCTATTGTAAAGTCAAATTAGTCTTATTAATCTACTTTTACTACCAGTGGTCCCGAAAATACAAGAAGTATAGGGTTTTCGTCCCCACTTAGGCACTGCCAAGTGACACAAACCTTTTTTTTAAAGGGGGGTGGGGTTGCAGTTTTTGTAGATGCACGTTTTATACAACTGTTTACAAAGTATTCTACAGAGTCTTCATTGTAGAAATGGACGACGTGTCATGGCTACTAAAATGTACTAAAACTGTCCCCACTTTTGGCCCTGACAACCGAGGGGCGCTGTTGCTGTGTGATGCTTTTCATTGAAGACGAGTGCAAATTACATGTTTTGTTAAAATTCTGCTCATTAGAAGTACAAACATTACTGAGATTGCTGGTTGGCCTTCACAACAATGTATCACCAACTTAAAAAGGCTTACAGCAAGGCAAAATATCAAAAATTACTATGCAGTCAATGCAACATTGATGTTTTCTCTTTTACTGTGTGGAATGACATCACAGATTTGGTTGTGAATGTGGAACTCGTTGACATAAAAGCCTAAAGCCTAAAGGTGCCAAAACCACGAGAAGTGTTTCTTTCACGGGTTGTGGTAATAAAGAAACTGCACTGCAAGATCCGAGTTCGCTTGGCACAGATTAATCAGACGTTTCGTAACACATTAACAAAATGCGTCAGGGCTAGAGTCAGACTACGTCAAGGCTTAGTAATCGAATTTCCAATTCCACTTGGCTCACCTTGATGCACAGTTCCCTGTCATATTGAATTTAAAATGCTGCGGTGTTTTGACGGGCTCAGTCAGTGATTCTAAACCACGGAATTAACCACATATAAAAGAGACCCAGTATACTTTCTTACTGCAACCAACTTCTTAATTTGTAAAAAGTTCTCGGAGTTGCCTGTTGAAGAAAATAATGATGGAATTTGACGATTTCCTATAGCAACAAATATCAGGTCCCTTGATCTTGGAAAATTTCCACCTGATCTGAAATCGTTGGTACATGAAAGCCATCATGTCAGTTGCTGAAGTTTGTCATCAGGAAAGTATAACAATCTCCATAATTTCTCCGAAGAACATTTTCATGAAAAACACTTTCCACGCAATACACTGTAAAAAGGTTGGTCAATTATCGGTTGATATTTTGCCCAGTGTTGGTTAAAATATCAACTTCAACCTTTGGGCAAATTCTTCCCAATGTTTGGTCAATATCTGACCAACAGTGACGGAAATTGACCAACAGTGTGGTAGCTTTAGATGGTCCGTGCTTTAACCAAGGTTGGGCAAATAATGCCCAACACTGTCTTGACCAATTTGGTTTACAGTGTAGTACTGGTCAATGTCAGTATTCTGTGTATGCTGTGAAATATTCAACAGATGTCATCAGCGGCGTGCGACACGCATGTAGAAATCCGGTTCCTGTTTATAATTTCTGTCTCCCGTCCTAAACATCTGTTAGAGTTTGTTATCGATTTCAGAATCTATGAAGTTAATTCTTCTTTTTTCGATTAGCATCGTGGACAATTTGGGTCAGACTATATCTAGAGGATGTGTGCAGTTAATATTGTTTGTTGATTGGAAATAGACATTGGAATAATTAACTGATAATGTCCAAAAGGATATCTAGTTGTAGTGACTAGATGCCGGCGATACGGCGACAAAAATACTTCGGGGTTCAATGACCGAAATCTATACTGACTCACTGTTTCTTGCCCGAGAAACACATCGACACAATAGCCAGATGAATCCGAGCGACAGACTTAAAACAGGGAAAGCGTATTAACTATGTCACTTCAAGCTCCCCCAAGACATAAACTGTCAGATCTGCAGGACCTGGGCATCAGATCGAAAGCACGTGTGGCATGATTATGTATATGTAGTTATGAAACTTCCAAACAGGCCGGGGAAAAACTGACAAATTGCATGTTGGTTCGCATCTTTTGCCACGACAAGAACATGTAGTCCTGCACACCCATGGGTGTGTAGGCTGACTTAAATTCATCCCTTTGAGCAACTTTGTATGTGTAGCTTCTACTGTTATTGAAGCGCCGAACACCTGTTCGAGTTTATTACAAGATTTAAATAATTTAGGCAATATTCTCATGTTTTGCGATGGTCCAATAATTTTTGTTTTTTTCTCCTGTAGTGAAGCACGCAAACGATTTGAAAAAAAAGCAATGCCTCAAACAAATGAGTTAAAACAAAAAATTAAAAAAGGACCAAGCAGTAGAAAACAAAACCGTTCAGACCTAAGCCTACGAGGTCCGTTAGGCTGTAATATTAAACTATTATAAACGCCCACTCTGGCAACAGAGTGATCGATGTCTATCGTTCGGGGAAACGATAAGTAGTCAAAGAGGATATTCGATAAAAACTAAAACAAATATGGTGATGGAAAATTCTGTTCGCAGTGGATTGTTGATATCGAAACCTCTCTATTTTGATCTGCGACAGATGCTTACATGCAGGTGGGTCTCTCGCTGGTTAGATTACAGTAGTCGATTACAGTGGGAAAAATCGGTCAAGAACCGTACATTCATTTAGAATTGTACTGCAAGGAAAATACACCACGACGTGTTTGTTTATTTCTTCACCGGTGAGGGCGGATCCGAAGGCAACGCCCGCCACCCCCCCCCCCCTTTTTGAGAGAAAGTTCAGACGTTTTTTTCTGATACTCGTACTATGTTTCCTTTTCTCCACGAAGTGTTTAAAAAGTTTAGCCTCAAACCCAGGAAATTAAGACCGTAAAATACCGGCGTGACTGGGGTACGTTTTACAGGCCCGGGGACACATTGGAGCACTTTCTTCTAGGAGGGGATAGGGCACTCAATAGAGTACCGAAGTGAATGCGTCACGTGCACAATTAGTGTGTAAAACGCATTAGCGCGAGAACCAGCGTGTGAACCAACACGCGTGCGTATTCCATTCGTTTGCACTGCACTTTCTGGTTCACAGTGACGTCATACTTCGGTACACTGTAGGTTCGGTCACAGATTAAACACAAACCGAAGGGAATGATCACAAGAATTTTTTTCTAATCTCTGAGCAAGGGTTGAGGGTAGGGCACACCTCTCGAGCGGGAAGTCCGCACCCTCATATCCCCTCTTTCTTATTTAGACCATTGCCGTTAAGATTACATCAAGAAATTACGAATTCCCAAAAGGCCACCAAAAAATGGCTGATTCGCCTCTATTTTCAACCTACGCTTATGCAGAAGTGAATTTTAAAACTATTTTCTTTTTAATTCTGTTTTGTTATGTGTTTGTTTCGCTTTATTTTGTATTAGTATCCCGTTATTTTCAGAAAGGTCGATTTTATTTCTTGACGCCATTACCCGCCGACTCGCTCGCAGACTAGACGGAGTACTCGAGAGGGTTGATGTTTTATAGAGGGCGGCATACTACTACAACCACCACCGGCACCTTCATGGGTCGAGTTCGGGCGCCCAGGTCTGTTCTTGACACGAGTTTCTTGTTCTCGCGCTCGAATGGCGGGAACACGACTCAAGAACACTGTTCTCGGAACAAGATCACACACCATCTCCTCGTCAGGATTTTACAGGAACAAACGGAAAGCCTCATGAGATTTTGATTTTTGAACAGCTACAAAAAGTAGAGAGATGGCTTCCAAAGCCATAGACAATGGGAAGTTGTGCAAAATTAACATTAATTATTTTCCGTAACACAGAAATAAATGTTCCTGTTTATATAGAAAAGAATTCAGCCCATCCAAACATTAACTCTCGAACAACGTAGCCTACAGGGACGTTGCATGTTACTTGTCACTAACTACCAGCGATAACCGGTTGTTTGTTCCTGGCGTTCGAGCGGCTGACCCACGAACAGCAAACCACCCGAACTCACTGAGCCATTATTGCTTGAGTAGTGTTCCTGCCGTTTGAGCGGTAGAGGGCGTTTGTCATTTCACCGATTTTGTGCGGGACATTTGATAATACCAGCACGAAGGATTCTTCACCCTTTTTGTTTCATAATTCGGTTCGGTTTGTTGGCTGTACTCTGCCTGATTGTACATACAATTAAGATGATATTCAAGCATTGTTAGTAGGTCGCCAAGAGGTAAAGCAGACTGGCCTTATCTTGACATTAATCATATGTTTTTGTCACAGTCAGATGGTCAGACAGACATGAAGAAAAGTAAGAGGACGGCATGCACTCGAAATTTAAAGTGACATCAATGACAGGGGCCTTCATGTATGAGCTAATTTTTCTCAACTTTTTCTTCTGGCGGATGGTCTAACCTGTTCTAAAATGGTAAGTTTGTTCAGGCGGGAAGAGTTCCATAAAATAGGGACGCCAGTAACTATTCCCTACAGTCATGACAGTAGTAGTCCTACACTGTAGGTCTAACCAGCTACACGACCAGGCATGCCATAGCCTAGGCCTAGGTCATGACCAAACGTCAGACCTCTTCATTTTGCTGTCATCTGGATCTGGTTTTATAGTCTCTTTTTTAATAGTCAGCATTGAACCAACACTGTATCATCCCACATTTTCAATTTGCCTTCAAAGGTCAGGGGTTAATTCTTTTAAAAACTATTTTTCCCATGTCATGCCTGTCACGTTCACTTCGCACGGTGACCAGTTGAGAAGCCTGGCACCCAGTCGTCTTGCCCAGCCTGACCGGCAGAGGAGCAAAAGAAAGAATGCCACTCAAGGGGAGGCTAATGCTCATGGCAAGGTAGGCGGCATTACAGAACCAACTAGCCTATCGTGGTCTGACAAATTTTACAGATTTCAATGCCTTTTATGGTTTCACACGAATGGCAGCCATCAGCTGAATTTATCAGGTGTTCACAAATGGGAAGAGCCACCAATGTAGGGCTGGATAGCTGAGTTGGTAGAGCACAGGTGCGGTATTCCAGATGTCGCAGGTTCAAATTCCACTCCAGTCAATTTCTTTGGTGATCTTTCGAATCAGTTGTACGCACCTAGTCAGTTTCCCTTTAAAGTTTGTTTCATGATTTGTGTTCAAAAAGCTGCATCCTTCCTGAGTGATCCCTGTTCACCACTTCCCAAGTTGTATCATGTATAATTGAAGCATGATCCTTGGCTTTATGGTGTTTCAGGTTACATGGCTTCTGACTAGTGCTAAACTAGCATGGCCAGGGTAAGCAAGGAGAATATTTCAGCACAAGACCTGATCCCCGATAAACTGACTAATTTTCAGGACGGTGGGTTTTGGTGCATACTGTGTCTCAGAAATAACATGCAGCTCACATCTCGAGAGATTATCCCCAGTGAATCAAGTGAGTTTTTCTTTATTGACAGGCTGAATCTCACAAAAAGTCTAGAGTCTCGGTCGGAGACGCCTCCGAGACACTATCACCTCCCAGTTCCGGGTTCACATCCATCATGCGGAGACCACTGAACATGCTGAGCAATGTCAGTGCCAATCCCGGAAGATCTTCCCATGTATGTTCTCTCAAAGTCTCTTTTGAATGTTGATAATGACGGGTGGATTTGCTCATTTTATTTTCTACCCAATTAATGCAGTTGCAGGTTGAAATTTAACACCACATTGGATTAAACCTATAAGACCAAAAAATAAAGTCTCCAGTGTCTGGTCAGGGGCTGGCTCCAAAAGAGTTGCGGCGACATGGCTTTTGTTTTGGGTTTTTTGTCTCTCACTTTTTCCCTCACGCACTATGTCCATCATGACTGCATTGCGTACGTACCGCCGCTACCAACATTGAAATAGACTGGCCCCTCACTATTTACTGTTTAACCACTCTGTGCCAGGATGCCTGGTACCGGAGATGTTGGCTTTATGCGTCTAGCCGGGGTGCCCGAAATCGGACAAAGGAGCTGGGCCTTGCAACCAATACCGTACTCGGAACAAAAGACCGAGCTGCTGGGAATTGCCATCATTTTACAGTTGGCATTAGCAGAGGTAATCCGTCATTGTTTTAAAACAGTATACCACTGTTTGTGGCATTCAGCGCCCGCAGATTATCAGCGGGGAAAAAAGTGCTCCAGCGCTCAAGCGATGAACGATACAATACTGCTGCACGCTAATCTGGCCCATGTTGAAAAGACACCACTGCCATTCAGCAATACACGGGGCCAATTTCGGGAACAAAGGAAATTATGCAACACTGCACAATCTGGGCTCTCTTTACTGGGCGGCAAGCCTGGCTGCAATACTCAGGCATCAGTGGAGGTTGCCCGTCAGATTAGAGTAGCCACCAGACAGTCACTCGTGTGGGTGTAAACATCCAGTAAATGATGTTACGAATTTTTGAAGAATTTTGAAAAAGGAAAATTCCAAAAATCGCCCAGGAACTGGTGCTGCATAAGCAAATTCCACCTGGCAGGAAGTGGTTAAAAGTTTTTTCAGCTTGTAGATGTACACAGGACATAAGACCACTTCGTTTGTCTGGTTCCGAGATGTAAATGTATAATTCGTAAATGACGTCATCTGAAAAAGAGTGCCAGACTAAATATATGGGGGCCTAGAGGGACTCCTTTACGGTACATATTAATAAACCGTACCCCATCTAAAATATGTTAAAATTATGCAGTAGCAGGATTCCAGTCCATCAAACAAGTCTGACAGCTTTTGGACATTGTATAATACCAAATAAAAACCCTTTTTATTTTGCTGACATGCAGGTGTACAGTGACGCGCGCTGACCAGAAACCGGAGACTTTTATTTGACCTAAGCTTCTACAGATCTCGTGGTTATGTACTTCAGATTTAAATATCCCATCACCCACACTCATTTCCCTGGGTGTGGTCTGCCCAGAACTTGTAAGGCACTGTCTAGGGTATCCTGACTCGGGACTGAAATAGGGAAGGTATATAACTGTACAAGTAACGCACGATTGGTCTTTTTGTACATGACTAACTTAGTTTGTGACAGGGAGCAACCTTGGAACAATATTCAAAGGAAGCTTTGATGTTTGATCTTTGCAACTGAAACAATCTCGTTTGGAACCTGTATTTTTGGCCTTTGTCTAAGCCATAGATGGCCCTTTGACATGGTGCAGTTGGAACCTTGAGTGAATGCAGAATGACCGTCTTGTTCAAGGAAAGATTTCCAAACAGACATTCACCTGCCATGGTTAGCGTTTACTTTTGTGTTTTGCTTTGCCATATGTACTTTTATCATTTGCACGTTCTGAATTTGGTTCACTTAAGCGTAACACTGATTTCCTTTCACATTTTTAGGAGGAGATGATCAGGAGCATCCTGTCCCGTCCTTTCAAGGTTCCAATCCCTAATTATAAAGGTAATCAATTTTTTTAAAAAGTTGACCTGACACATCTTCAAGTGTGGGAAAACCTAGGCGAGCTTCCCTCAATTTGAATTATGGAGTATAGAAACAGCACTCTGCCGCCTCACAAAAAGACATCATTTTAATTAATTATAAAAAATTGATACTTGAAAGACACTTACAGATCTACCCAGACAAACATCAGGAACAAGTTAAGTTCTCCACTCGCAGCTGGCTAATACATTTTCTCCACCATTTCCCACAGTGGACTGTGGTAAAATGGCCCCTCCATGTCAACCTCATAGTGGTGGGCTGTATCGTGAATCACCTGTGTTTACCAAACGGCAGTCTAATCAGGTGTGAGATTAACTGAGGCTTGTGAGATTGCGGTTTTCCCCCATTGATTTTGGGAATTCGGCAGAGGACCAGACATGCCAGAGGGGAATAGAAACAATAACTTCCTCGACGATCCCGAATTTTGCTCCCCACATTTCTTTCTGCGTCTCCCTCTGTGCAGGACCTTCACTTGCCTCCAGGGGCCTCGGAATCCGACGTCAGGGTGTCCGGCAACCCCTCCATGACCCGGCGGAGGAGGGCGCCCTCGTGCTCTACGCACCCGAGCCGCTGTCGGCACAGGAGCAGCTGACCCTTGACAGGTGGGTTTGGAGGGGGTATGGAGGGTCACCTTGCCGTCTGTGTTAACCCAAGTCAGGAAATGTTCAAGACGGCCTTCCAGAGCTGTGGCCACATCGTTTGTCCACATGTGGTCAACATATTTCTACAGCCAGTCTCGTTCCCACAAAGTCCATCAAACCCTAAATAGCCCTAAATCAAGTGATATCAAACAGTTGGATGTTGTTGGCCATGTCAAGAACTTGATTATTCTTGTAGTTGGATTCCACTGGATACGGCAGGCTTCGCACTCAGCCGTCATGAAATTCAGTGAAATTCAGTGGGATTTAGCTAGAGTTAGTTTGAAGGCTGAAAGAGTCACATTAAAAAAAAAAATCTTTTTACCCATAAACTTAAAAAGTTGTCAGACTTCTTTTTTGTAATTTACTTTTTTTCATAAATATCAACTTAAACCAAGATTGAAACACAAGAGAATGAGAAAATAAAGATCATTTTTTTTTTTTAAGCCACACTATTAGTCAATTTCTTGTCACAAAAACTTTGTTCAAATGTTAACCTTGGTTTAAAAAAATGAAGAGATGTCACCATGTAGCTGTAATGAGAAGTGTTTCATTGAAATTTGTTGTTTTTCTTTCAGAGACAAAATGGAAGTCCATGGTAAGTTGGAAAAGGATTCAGGAAAATGGCACTGAAAGGAAAAAAATGTGGATTTGATATTTTCAGGGTATTTTTATTTCTGTGATATAGATTCACTTCAGTAAATTTAGCGTGATTCAAGAACCAAAATTGTGGTGTTTATCAGAAAATCAAATTAATGCAAGGTTCCCTTTTAATTTGGCCCATCAAGGTGGATTTTTGAACTGACCAAGCTTGACTGTGTCAAAGTTTAAACTGTGGTGTATTGGAAATCAGTTCAAAGACACAGGTTTGAAACAATCAAGGACACGGAGCATGTAACAGTTTATGTTTAGTCATCGGCGCAAATAAAAGATTTCATTTTCCACGGAGGTGTGTCGCTATGTAATTTCAGTTTGCATTTCCTTTGAAGATTTCCTTTGTAACGAGGCATTGAATTTTTTCATGGGATGAGTTTCACTTTTTTGACCTTGCTTTAAATTTGCTTTCATTCCAGTTGTCGTTGACCCATTGCTGTCAAAAGTGCTTCGTCCTCATCAGAGGGAGGTAGGTCACTTATCACAACAGCCATCAAAAACCCAGTTTATTAACTTGAGGACAATTTCAAACCATTCTCAAAAGTACCGAACACTGTAACCAAATGCAGTTCCACAGAAACTTTTGCTGCAGAAATCTTCGTGCTATTTGAGATAAGGTGCTGAGGTTTTGGCATGGATTTTTTTCGTGATTTTCCCAGGGTGTCAAATTTCTGTGGGATTGCGTAACTGGCAGACGCATCGCCGGCAGCTATGGTTGCATCATGGCAGATGAAATGGTGAGAACTAGTCTCTTGCCTGGTCTAATGAAAGGAGCTTTTAGGAGAGCGAGCTTAATGCTTGGCTTTCATTAGTTTAATGAAAACTGGTTGGAAAAACTCCTGACAGATTTCTGAGGTTACACCTGTTATGTTGTTTACATCCCACAAATTTACATACTTCAAAGCGGGATAAGTATCTTTGACTGTTTTTCCCACTATTTGTTCAGGGCCTTGGTAAGACTCTTCAGTGCATAACGCTCACCTGGACTCTGTTGAGACAAAGCCCAGACGGTAAGCAGTTTGGGAAATCTGTGGAGACAGTGCGCCCTGTGCTATGGATGGAGTGGAGCAGACTATATGTGAGAAGGGACAGGACACTGCAAGCGTGCACTGGTTCATATGTGTGAATGGCTCAGAGTGGGGACAACCAATTTTCATCTGAATGCGCACAAACTTGCCGCAAATCACTTGTCTGTAGGAAATGCACGAAGCTGCTGGCCTACAACTTCCAAAGGCGTGCACTATGTCAAGCTGCTGCTAGTTAATTCAAACATGGACTTTGTGAGGAAAAATGCACATGAGCTTAGGAACAAGACAAAACTGGTGCCGACAAATCTGCTGGTAACAGTGAAAGACTTCGTTTTGTGCATGTTGTCTTTGGTGACATGTATGCCGATGATTCTGGGATCCTTAAAATTGTGTTCCTACTTTGTCTTTGTTATTTCCTCAGCCAAGCCAGAACTGGACAAGGTTGTGATAGTTGCCCCCTCCAGTCTCGTTAAGGTACGACTTCCACCCAAGAGAATGATGCAATTTTATCCGATAGTTGTGTAGTTAGTGAAGATTGATACTCTGGCATTTGAATTGAATGTTCTTGAACACAAATTCCAAGTCTCATTTGTTTGTTTTCTTCTAGAATTGGCACAACGAGATAAACAAGTGGCTAGGCAGTAAGCTCAATGCTTTGGCCATTGACTCTGGCTCCAAACAAGAAATCGATGCCAACCTTGGTAAAGTTGAAACTCATTCCTCATTCCTTCTCTTTCCATAAGGAACTCCTGAAAAAAGTCTGAGTCCTCTGATTCTACTTGGAAAGTGCCCTTTTCTCACCAACATCCTCAACCTGTCAGAAAGACTCAGAGGGCTGTAGACTCATCGAGTAATACCTTGGTGTAACAGAGCTGTCTTTGGAAAAATCTCACATTTGATAGTTACTCACATTCTTGCCTGATACTCTGATTGTCTATCTGCTCTCCAGACTCACTGGACTCACGGCAATAGTTGCGTACCAATTTTTTGGTTTCATACATCTCTGATTTGTCTTGTGTGTATCTTGCCCCGATGAAAGTTTATCCCTTGACTGGAAGCATTTATTTAAAATTCGTTTTATATTTCATTCAGAATCATTTCTGAGCCAGACTGGTCGTCGTATACTCAACCCCATTCTGATCATATCATATGAGACGTTCCGTCTGCATGCCGGAACTCTTCATAGGGGCTCTGTCGGGCTCGTGATCTGTGACGAGGTAATGTATCAACCACAGCTAAGTCCTGATGCAAGAAATTGACCGACAAACCGAATACATGTAATGGTTACCGCTTTTTTCCAGACTTTGTCCCTGTGAAACCACCTTGTGTGATTCCCGAGAGAAAAGTCTTTTGGAGACAATACTTTTTATGGAACAGGGCATTGAAGTTTCCCGTTCAAAATTCTATTAATAAGTAGAAAAGTTCCCTCTTCCCAAGGGCAGTCATAGATCTAGCTGGTTGGGCAAGAAATAGTTGACATCTCTCTTTGCCTATGGCTTACAGCGTGGTCTAAATTTGATAATAGAGGGTTTGCACGGCTGCCATCTTGCAGGCCAGTGCTTATGTTCCACAGGGTATGCAGGGTATGGTCTCCCCGTGGAACAAAACAACTGCCCTGCGAGATGGCTACCACGCAACGCCTCTATTGAGCAAATTATCCCTATTGGCAACCGCAAAGAATGCGGCTGCAACATGATCAAGTCGAAGGCATGTAAAAGCCCCCTAGGCAGCCACTAGACAACCCACATCTGACAACGGAGCACAGTTTGAGATCAAAAGTGTTTTTGTGGTGGGAGGAAAACCCACAGAAAAGTCTAAGGGTGCAGGAGAGAATCATCTGTACTCACGCATGGCCCTGGCCGGTGAATCGAAACCGGGTCAAAGGGGTGAAAGATGTGCACTTTATGCACGAGCCACTCATGCCACCCACTAATGACTGTTCTCCGTTCAAGTGCAGCCTCTAACTGCAGTCAGTTTTAATAAGCTCTTTCTGACGAAACTCTCAAACCCTGCTTGGGAGAAAAGCAACCGCAGGCTCAGAAATGGGCACCCGCATGACAGTCAATAATGAGACTGTGTAGCAGTTACTTGGATGCGGCTTCATGTACTAACACATGTACCCGTAAGAAGCCACAAACTAGCTGCTTCATCTGTTTCCCATTGGGCCATGTGATGTTATCAGCTGTAGCCATGCAAATTCGGATGTGGCTTTTGGTTTGAGTCTTGCAGCGTCCCCTTACCAGGTGCAAAATGTAATTAATAAATTAGACTTTGAATCAATATTTAAGTTGAGTTTGGAGAAATTGCAACGGGTCCAAAAAAAAATTCTAATAGATACTTCCTTTTTTTGATAGGGTCATCGGTTAAAGAACTCAGAGAATCAGACTTATCAGGCTTTGAATGCCATGAACGCCAAGCGTCGCGTTCTATTATCGGGTACCCCCATCCAGAATGACTTGCTAGAGTACTTCAGCCTTGTCCACTTTGTCAACCAGGGAATCCTGGGTAAGACTTTGCCACAAGCTTCATCTCTCACTTGGAGATTGCTTGTGGACCCATATTAGAACTGTCATGAAAATACTTCTCTCTTTCCGTTGTGCATATAGTTTGCCAAGAATCTAGTTAATCAAGACTGTTCGTTGATTTAAAAAACTCTACGAAGTTGAGGGGGAGGTAGATGGATATGCAACCGAGATTTTGAAAACCTCGTCCAAAAAGCAAGTGCTTTTCTAACGACAATCCGTGGCATTCGTCTTGTCGGCAGGGACGGCATCAGAGTTCAAGAGGAAGTTTGAGTTGCCTATCCTGAGGGGACGAGATGCCAGCTCTAGCGACAAGGACAAACAGCGCGGCCAAGAGAAACTGTTGGAGGTAGAGAGCGCCATCTGCAATTTCACAAAAAAAGCCCCCAATTCCATGGCTGTCTGCTTGCGACAGGAAGCTTGAAGGCAGCACTTTAAAGTGGTGGTGTTTTGACATTGATGAAGTTGTTTTTCCAAGAGTGAAGCAATTCAGTCAGGACTTTGCGATGAAAAAGAGGGCTCACTTAAAACATTCGAAAAGTGAGAGCGAAAGTTTCAGTTTGCTTTTGTAGTCCTTAATGAGCAAATCGAAGAACCGTTTTTTGCCGTTTTACGATCTTTGAATTATGGGAAACATTGAAATGATGTTTCCATCATCTGCAAGGGTCAAAAGAAAACCGTGTGATTTTAGTGTGCGCCACTGCTGGCTTACACTTGCCAGGCAAACTTTGATTTGGTCCAAGTTGATAACATAACAGACACCCTTCACGGGTCCCTTGCATCGACAGATGTTGTTTTTGTACCCAGCCTGTCAGCATCATTGACTCGGAACTGTTGTCACGTGTCTTGACTAAAGACTTCCCTTTTTGATGCACACAGCTTGCAGCATTGGTCAACAAGTGCATCATCCGGCGAACGTGTGAGTGCAAAATTGAAATGAAACGAAGTACATTATTTGACGGAACTGACGGAAAGTTTAATAGATGACGAGTTGTAGTGTCAGAAAAGAAGCATTTCTCTAGAATGTGGTGAGAGGAGCTCTTTTCATCGGGATGAATTTTTTGAGGGGCAGTCTCTGTCCTGTTAATTGGGCAGATAACAGGTGTTGAGGTATAGGCAGAGGGGTTCATTTCAGAAATGACGATTTCATAAGGCAGTAGCTTGGACAAACCTCTCCTGTCTCTGAGAAATCTTGGGGTAATTCTAACCAAATCCTCAAATAATGCAGATTATATTTTCTCTTCCTCTCCAGCTGCACTACTTACAAAGTACCTCCCCGTCAAGAGTAAGCACACATTGAATTTTATTCACACCTCCTTGGTCTCTTGCTTAATTTGCGGTAAAAATTTTGGAAATAAGCCCCGGGACATTTTCCACAAGATAAAGATTATTTACGGTAACCATTTTTGAAATGGACACAATTGTTTTGTATATACAACTTGGGGCAGAGTATAGTACTGCTTATTGAAGGGGTATCTGTCGTGTCAATGGACCGGCCACTGCCCGTCCTCGCGCAGCTCAGCCCCAGATTTCCTCTGTTTGAGAGTTTAAGAAAGGATTTATAATATCCCAATTTTTCCCCCATTGCAGTTGAGCAAGTCGTCTGCTGCAAACTGACGCCGCTGCAGAGCGCCCTCTATAAACAGTACGTGGACCGCAAGGTGGCGGACTGCACAGGAGCCCCTACAGGCAAGCCCACCGCATCCTCCCTGTCGGCCATCACGCAACTCAAGAAACTCTGCAATCGTAAGTCAATCCCCTTTAATAACGGGGATTTTAAGCACAGTTAAGTACAGGTATGTAGATTGTAATGTCCTCTTGGCTTGTCGTTCTCATTGTCAGACCCAGCGCTGGTGCACGACAAGTGTCGTGATGGAGAGAGCGGCTTTGAAGGTGCCCTTCAGCTCTTCCCAGCTGATTACAGACCGGGAAGGCTGCAACCAGACCTGTCGGGTAAAACATAGATTCAAAATGCTGCATTACAAATTTCACGAGCGTCGTGACGGCTAAAAAACTGCAGTCAAGAGTACTGGCTCTTGAACTGTTCATCAGGCCGACTTGAGCCTTCCCATTCATTCTGAGAGTGATCCTCCATGTTGTGTCCATTCCAGGCAAGATGCTGGTGCTGGACTACCTCTTGGCAGTCACCCGCACCACCACCAGCAACAAGGTGGTCCTGGTGTCCAACTACACGCAGACCCTGGATCTCTTTGAGCAGCTGTGCCGGCTCAGGGGCTACATCTTCGTGCGGCTGGACGGCAGTATGTCCATCAAGAAGCGGGCCAAGATGGTGGACAGATTCAATAGTCCTACGGTGAGCTCCGATGTATTGACATGTTGGCTCTATTTTTTTTCCCCAGTCATTCATAATTTTGGGTTAAAATTTATTTCAACCTGCTTTCTGGCAAGCACATTGATTTTTTATAACAGCACCTGAGATCTGAAGAAATCTTTGATTTGGCATTTTTCTGCAACTTCAGTTACTGAAATAAATTTCTTCAGTCTTGCTCTCTAACAAGCTCTATGCTCTTGATGACAGATACCTTTGCAGTACTTCATCCTGATTCTTGACTTTCATACCAAGTTAGCATCTTATCTGTGCTGTTCTATTTGAGCAGAGTCCCGAGTTCATCTTTATGCTGAGCAGCAAGGCCGGAGGCTGCGGCCTGAATCTGATTGGCGCCAACCGGCTGGTCATGTTTGACCCGGACTGGAACCCAGCCAACGACGACCAGGCCATGGCCAGAGTGTGGCGGGATGGCCAGAAGAAGGAATGTTTCATCTACCGGCTGCTGGCTGTAAGTAGCGGACCTTGGGTCAGGGGTTGGGGTTTGGGTAGGGCCTATGATATCTGTGGCTGGAGTGTGGCAGGACAACCAGGAGTGTTTTGTCTGCTGACTGCAAGTGGCTGTCTGGTAAAGACGAAATTAACCACGGGTCAGGGCACGAGAGCGGGGAGTTGAGGGTGTGATATCTTTGGCCAGGGTGTGAAAGGACAAGTCCAAAGGAGTGTTCCATACACCGGCTGCTAGCTGTTAGTGGCCGTCAAGTAGAGATGATTCTGGCCTTGGTATCACAGGAGAGAGGTTGGGGATGGGCCAACAGCCAGGAGTGTTTCGTCTACCAGCTGCTGTCTGTAGGTAGCTCTTCAGCAGAGATGGGTCAGACGTTGAGAAAAGGGAGAGGGGTTTTGGGGTGGGGGAGATCCAGCCGTGGCAAGACTGTAGGGACGTGGGAGGCAGTTTGAATGCAGCAACGTTTTGTGCGCACGATAAATTCTCTGGACGTAGGTTTGGATTCAGAGCTCCTTGGAAGATTGTAGTACCAACTCTGTTGTTTTGACTGCTCAGACGGGGACGATAGAAGAGAAGATCTTCCAGCGCCAGGCCCACAAGAAGGCTCTGTCCAGCTGCGTGGTGGACAACGAGGAGGATGTCGAGAGACACTTTTCCCTGGACCAGCTGCGAGACCTGTTCCCCCTCAACGAGGCCACCATCAGCGATACCCATGACAAGTGAGTGCTGGGCACTTGAAATGTCGCCTAAAACCCACGCTCGAAATGCAAATTATTACCCCTGCTTGGCGGGCCCATAAATCTGTCCAGTGTACATCCGCGCTGCCTTGGATGTATTGAGTGTGTTGGTTGTCATAAGGTACAAATTATTTACAGTTCACTTCTCCACTAAGCCTGTGCCAATTATTTGAATATTCGGATATTCAAGCGATTGAGTATTCAAATACTTATTTTTGAAAAAAAATCAGTCTAATACAAAGTAAAGATTGAATTATTTGATAGCAAAATTGCATTCTGAAAGCTAAAATGCTGTTCAGCAACAAGGTCAATAAGTCTTTCAATTTCGTTTTAATACTTTTGCAAAAGATGTATATTTTGTTTCTGCTTTTGTAGGTATGTACAACCAAATGTTCAAATACATTTTATTCCGTCAATTGGAAGGTCAAACATTCAGTTAGTCAAATAGACTTAGCTTTATTCCCTGCCTGTAGTGCTTTATCACAATGACTTGTAGTCGTGCATAGTTTTGTGAAATAATAAAATAACCTAATGTGGAACTTGACATCCTCTGTCCTAAAAGGATCAAGTGCCGTCGCTGCGTCAACAACATCCAGGCACGACCGCCCCTGCCGGACACGGACTGCAACAGCGACCTGGCTCACTGGAACCACTGCGCCGGCAAGCGTGGCATCACGGACTCCGTGCTGAAGCAGGTCCTGGAGGCCGACAGGGTCTCTTTTGTCTTCCACCACCGATCGCACGAACAGATCCAAACTGTCTAGTGCACAGACCAGCATTTGCTCTTCAGACGTGCGGTGCCTTCCAGTGTTGCGGTCAAATACTCTCAGAGTACATTTTTCACCACCAAATAATTCTGTTCATTGCGAACACAGCAAGAGAGACGCAGACAGTAGACGGTGAATGAAGTTGAATGGAGACGGAAAATATAAACTGGGAATTTTCAAGTGCAAATTGTTTTGGGGGGCCAAACAACATCGAATATGTTTATGTAACCTTTTGTGGCCTTCCTGAGATGTGAGGCTACAGTTTTTGGGTTTTTTTTGCACATTTCTCGAAGGGAAATGAACTAGATTTAAGAATGCCTTTCATTTCCTTTGCTCCCTTTGAGGGAATCCCCCCCCCACCGGATCTGCTGATGGGGAATTTGGATACATAACAATTCCTTTTACTAAATTAAGTGACAAAAATTAATGACTATTTTCAGGAAACATTCCCTGTTCAAGTCTTAATCTTTACACAATTCTGATCGTCCAAATTCTTTGATTTCATTTGATTAAATATTTTCAGATCAGTAAGTGTAGTATTCAACTTCATCCCAACCAACGCACCTCAACATTTGAAAGTAAATTCAGTACTTGGAAATTACTTGACGTGCGACCCTGGTCTTGCCAGTGCTTTATCTGCCTCAGCTGTGAAAAATCACAGACTTGCCGAGAATGGCTGACCAAAGCACTCACTTTCTTTTAGCGACACAAACAAAACATCTCTGTTCCATTTCTGTTGAGGAAATACAGAAAGCCACCCAACACGAGATCACAACTGACTTCATGTTGGAAAGAAACAACTCAAAAGGTTGATTAAACTCTCAAGAAACAGCTTTACTGATTTGATCATTTGTTCTGGAAGAGCTAACCAAATGGTGACCGAACGAATTGTTTTGTGTCGATATCAAGCACTTTATTTATACGTGATAGTTATTACTCTGGGGGAAGAGTTAAGTTTTCAAATCCTAATCGTCAAAGCTGTAAAAATTGCCATATTTGATGCCAAATAACCCTTCAAATATAATGAGCAACAGTACATTCATTGTTAAATTGTGCAACACCGAACTGAGTTGTAAGGTAAAAACATTCAGTTTTTGTTGTTAAAAGGCAGATACATCTAAACCATGCATCAGGAAGAAATACTGTTACCTGAAGTATCAGTTTTTCCCAGAGTGTACTTCACCAATTCCAAAGAATACTGTAAATTAAAACTTACTGTGTATAAACTGCCTTGCTTCCACAAAATGACTATTTTGTATACATGTAGTTTACGCAATATACAACCTCTTCAATACTTGTATTATTCAAACACATCCAAAAGCAAAGCGCCAGATCCTGTTACTACACCAACATCAGGAAAGAAGCAGGATTATACAGAGTGCACGCGCATTCCAAAAGGAGGGTTTGCACTTGGCAAATGGGATACAAGTTTCACATCACCATGCAAAGGTTAAAATAAAAAGAGAGATGTTTAGCTTTCTGGCATGAATATTTCTGTGATGTCATGCAACTGCATTTCCAACTGCTTCTCACAGAGACATTAATTCCTGCGCACTTTGCCTGTGCCCTGTGCGACAGGGCTAATACTTAACTGTCGTGAACATATTATTATTTTTTTTTTCTCCAGTGCCTGGAAGAAGGGCATGCTGGTGAATTTTGGGAAAACAGATTTCTTTGTTTGAAATGTCTTTTGCAAGAGCTCAAACATTTTGATCAATTCTTTGATTCTACGTGTGTCAAATGTCCACGGACGCTGAGGCATTTGAAATAGAAAACGGGGAAACTGTCGCATGCTAATTTTCCACAGTCTCAAGAAGGTAATGCTCTCCCACCAGGCAGCCAACAATTTATGAAATAAATGCCATGTTGTTATAAAGTTACAATGAAAGCATGCAGTGAACTTCAAATTTACTCTTACAAATGTATCTATTTTTCAATTATCGGTGAGGTGTTTCACAAAATGCGGAAAGAGCAGTCATCTGTCCTCCTCTCCTTTGAGACCAACAAATTAAACAAATTAATCATAATTTTGAATATAATGTTCTCCATAAATTTCTATACCCTTCATAATCCAGAAAGACTTCCAAGAAGATACAAACCAGGATGCTTGGCACCCAAACTCAACTCCATCAACAGAAAAAAAACAAAAAACACCAAAAGCACTCAAACAGTATAGAGGGTTTGCATGGCTGCCATCTTGCAGGCCAGTGCTTTTGTTCCACAGGGTATGCATAAAGGAGGGTTCCCCTTTGGAAAAGAACTGCCCTGCAAGATGCCTTCCACGCAAACCCTTTGTAACAGCGAACAGGTGTTTATGACGCTTCAAGTCCATACTTGAAGCAAACAAAGCACCCAAGCCAATTTTGTGATATCGTACCACATCACACGGACTTAAACAAAAATCCACCTGGTGAATTGCCAAACATAACATTATAATGTACTGGTCAAAACACAAGCATGACAAAGCAAAGCGGTAATACCTGGTTGCAAATGGAGTATAATTAAAAAGTGACTTCAGTCGAGCCAAAGACAGACTTACTTAATACCACGCAGGACTGAAGATTGAAATTTACACACACCGCACAACTCGCTCTTTGCTGTATCATTTCCCGCTACAATTTTTGTAACCACATGGACTTTAAGTAAAACTTCACTGAGCTTCAGAATTTTTTTCAGTAATACTTCTGAGTCATTTTGACACCAATTCTGAGAAAAACAAGACACCCCCCCCATTGGCGCAAGATGATCCCAGAAATCTTGGCTCCTTCAGATTTGGTTACAAATTGCTTCAAACTCTCATGAAATCTCATCAAGGATTTAATAGCTGCCACGGCAGATTGTCCATGTCCTGTTGCGAGAAAAAGCATTCATTGTTTGAACTTGGTGCCAAATACTGAGAGAGGGCAGCTGAAATGCTGTTTGGTGATCTTGAGGAGCGAGCTCACAAATGGTATGAATAGATGAAGCACGACACAAAAATAGTCAGAAAACAATAGAGAAAACAATACGGTTGTGGCTATAAATACTGGAATATCAGCGTATTTATCAATGTGTAAAATGCCCCGGCAACATCCCTGCTAAATCACCAGCTCTAGCAAAATACTTGTCACTGGAAAACAAAATATAGAGCCCTGCTTTTTAACCCCTTCTTGGCGGGAATTTCCCTCCGAAAGCCAACTCCCAAGAATTCTAGCCTCACTTGGCCACAAAGGCCACCTGCCAAACCGCAAATTCTCGATTTGTGGCCCAGCGTGCGCTGCATGCTTTGAATTACACGGTGAAAAGGCTGATTGTTTGGTGGCATGCCCCTCCACTCAAGCTTCCACATTCCCATTGCCTCTTTTCAAAGTGGGGACTATTGTGAAGCTGGTGATTATGATGCAAATTCGGTCTTTTCATTTCTGGGCTACACACAAAGACCAATTACCATATATACAAGAGCCAGGGTCTGCCTTTTTTCACCTTGTTCGTTCGAGCGTGGACCGAGAATAATAGCTGAAAAGCGGGCTGAGGATCTCAATTTTTACGGTAGCTATAGCCGCCTCCTGGTGCGAAGGAGTTAACACGTTGACTGCCGTGCATAATATCACAGGGCGTTCCCACGTGCCAAGCTTTGTATGCATGCGAGCATATTCAATGGGTACTTTTCAGATGTCTATTTAAACATGCGCATGATGTTTACAGATGTACAGATGTATACAGATGTCTGCCCTCACCATTGCCAGCAGCGTATTTGTTGTGTTCTTGGCAAGGCCAGCGTATTCAATTTACATAACAATAGCCTTTCATTTCCTATGAGCATAATCATAAATGTGGCAGACATCCAGTACACCTGTGACTACCCGTCAGAGTCAATGTAATACGCTGCTGCTCCTTCGAAACGGTAAATTAAATATTCCAAGCTCTGCTTTTTTCCCTAGAAATTGTGCATGCAACGATTAAATCCACCCACTGCAAGTATTTCGACAATCACATCCCTTGACCACATCTCCTCACTTGTGCAGAATGCATAAACCAGCTGAAACGGCCCAAAAAGAAATTTTTACTGAAAAGGCAACTCAAATACATAGCCCATCAATATCGCTACAGCCCCAGCCTGCCATGCCTGTTACCCCCTGTACCGCCCCAAATAAAAGCCAGTCTTCTTTTACATGTCTGTGTGGAAAACAGAACATGACGAAGAAATATACATCTCCCTGTTGCTGTCAACTCACTAGAGACAGTACATTTGTTTCTGGTAAACTGTGTTCTGTATGCTATCTGTTCTGAGCAGAAACAAAAGAGGGCGTGTTTTTCAATGAAATTGACAGTCCTTCAGTATGAACTCACCGCATAAGTTTATGAGCATTTGACGCAGAGTACGCTGAGTGCACACAGCGAATTTATTCTGGAATGGATGGTCTTCGCATGCACGCCGAATAAACGTGCTAAAACCCAGTTGGAAAACTTCGTATCAGTCTGTCTTTCTTTTGCCAGAGAGGGTGCACTTCAACTCGGGGCAGATACAGAGGGCAAGCCATGAATTTTGAGAGACTCACTAAGGATTAGATGGTTGAGATGACCTTCTATTGTGTCATCACAGACATGCACAAGTTTACAATGCACAGAAAAGCTCAAGAGAAAAACTCACTTTCTTGCGCTGTAAACAATCTCATTAAGCTGTACTTTTTCCTCACGGTTTCCTTGACTGATTCTCTTCATGTTTCAATGGACGGACCTATTAAACCCAGTAATGTCTCTTAAACTTTTTTAAGAGAGGTGAAAACCCTGTGTGGACTTGGTTTAGTCCACAGAAGGTTCACAGCTTGCATTATGAGGACCTGTTTTGTTCTTAGGTCCACCTAAGAACTCAATATTTTTACCGACAACACCATTCTCCAAAAGACATTTAGTGAGTGATTGTCATAAGGCCAGATGGATACAAAACGGGAAGTAAACCAAAAAAGTGCCTTATTCCAAAAAGAAAGAATAGAGGCAAGATTTCCTAGTTTGATTCTGTCACCTTCAAACCCCTTATTCTCAAAAACCCACCACATAAGTAATTTTTCGTACTGTAAACCTTCAAGGGGCACAAAGTCCCATGAATTTGGCTGCAGCTTCCCAAATCCTGCAAAATCCTCCAAAAAACTCTGGATAGATTGTGAAGGACTTAGGAGAGACAAGTTCTGCTGCACTTGTGGTTCAACAGCCTGCACAATATCCGTCGCCATCATCTTCACTGTTTGAGATATCGTTGTACCTGAATCACACCATCACAGATTCTTTGGCAGTGACCTGTCGGGAGCCAAACAAATTGTGGAGGGGATTGAAAGTGTTTTGATCCTGAGCCCAATTTTTGTAAAGTTGCTGAACAGAAAAAAGGTGCTCAGCAAACTTCCTGTGCTGGGCAAAGACGAGCGGGAGTACCAGTCGTGAACAGAAGGCACTGCATGGCATTTTGGCTGGTGAACGGTTTCTGCGAAATAAAAGTTTCCGGTGCTTAGCAGGTTTCTATGCCAAGCTGCTTTATGAACCTGTCCCAACTGACAACCCTCCGTAAGAGGCTGTGATTTCTCATGCTGCTTCTGGATTTCAGGATTTGACCTCAAAATTCCTGAATTTGCGGAGTTGCCACAGGAATCTGGAAACCAGGTTCTGTGACTTTTCCAGGACTTTTTAGGACTAACATACAACAAAGATCCAGTACATTTAATGCCATTTTGGTGAGAAATATTTGGTATTATGGACTGGAAGACTGCCACAGCCACTTCTATAAACTGAAAATGGTAGCTTGTCAGTTTGTCATTCAGTTTTTACATCAAAAGGACAACCTATGTTTTCCCAAGTTTTCCATGACATTCAAGACAACTTTTTTCAGGATTTTCAATGAATGTGGGAACTCTGACTTCTGGACAGACTACACCATTCCAATTTCGCTATAGTTGAAATAAAAAGAAGCCGTGCCTTATTAGCTGGGTCATTCAACAAGGTTGGGGCACAATTTGTGACGGTGTCAATTGTTACATAGGTTTCCTAAAAATGAACAGCTATTTCCCTGCATGTGGATTCCAAATTGACGTTGGTATACATCTTGCAAGGCTGAATACAAAGGTGTGTGTTCTTTTTACAGAGTAAATGACCTACTCTACAGGTCATGACAGGTGGTGATAGTTACCCATGTAACAAGGACACTGTCGCTAATTGTGCCCCCACCTCATGGAATGACCCACCTACAGTATTAACAGCCAAGAAAAGTCACAGTATCTTATTGAATTGTTCTAGCCGTCAACCGGGATGTTTAGATGGTTTCCCTTCGTGACTTCACACCTCTATCACTAACACTATGGCAAGCGTGTGGTTGTTTTTGTGGACCCTACCGTTTATAGCTCAGTCCATGTGCTGCAATTTTGACAATGGCCACCCCCCTGCAATTCAGTAGTTCTTCTTCATACACCCTGCTCAGTACTTCCCAGGGAGCTTGCATCAAAGAAAATAAGGCTTCAACTACACCAAACTGAGCATTTTACCTCTTTTTGAAGACTCTCAAGTCTGTCCAGGGCCTTGCGTTTCCAAAAAAATTAGACTTACCACTCTCTCTTCGATAACAGATGCCCAGTCATAATTGGCGAGCCTAGGAATAGCCTCAAGCAAAATCTTCTTTCCCTTTTCAGCATTCTGCTTGAAGGTTTTCATCACAACCTCCACGCTCACCTTTGGAAAAACGACGCGTAACCAAAACAAAAAGTCTCAATTGATCAAATGTAATTCTGTTTTACAGAAAGTCCAATCCATTTTCAGGGTGGGTAGGTGATTTTTTTGGTTTTTTGGGGGGATAGTTACAACTTCTGGCAAACTCACATGTTCATTGCCTTCGTCCCTCCAGGAGTCGTAGTCAGTGGGCAGTGCGACAGCCCCATAGCACAGCCCCATCTCGGCTGCCAGCACTACCTCGGGCACCGTGGTCATGTTGATGACGTGGCCGCCCCAGGATCGGAAGAGCTTGCTCTCGGCCCGTGAGGAGAAACGCGGCCCCTCGATGGTCACCACGGTGCCCGTTGGGTGGTAGTTGTAACCCAGTTGCTTGACCGACTCGATCAACACCTTCCAACAGAGACAGAGAAAGCAAGCAAGTCCTTCGGTAATGTTTACTTACTTGTGAGGGGGGAACTTCTAGCATTTCAAAAGTTTTGAATAAAACTGCACCTCTCAATTGCTTTGCAGCTGTCATAAATGTGGGTTCAATTGCTACATTACTCATCTCGTGCAATCTTCTATTCAGAGGTAAAAAGAAAGTTACTGTGTATTTGACATACAAATTTTAAACTAACGTGAGCATAACTTTGGTGAATTTGACACACAATCACTTACTGTGGCATCATTTTAATACTCGCATTCACATTTGCTTCCACACACACAACATACGAGCAAGCTGCTGCTCTAACATTGCACCCCCCCCGAGTCCCAGGACAGAGCCTTTACCTGCCGCGTCTTCTCGCAGAAGGGCGTGTGCATGGGGATGTGGCAGATTCCCTTGGGACTTGTGGGGGAGCCATCGTAGAACGACTGCTCCCGTTTGGTTGTGCGGTCGATGAACTGATCCAAGATGACGATCTGACCAGGTCTGATGTTTTCCTGTAAAAGAGAAGCCAGTAATCAAATCTTTTTTTTTTTTAGTCTGGTAGGTAATGTGAACCCTGGAAAAATATAATCCAGTTGGCAGAATGAATTACACATACATGTGTAACAACATAAAACAGGGCAGGTGTTCAGACTCACACACAACATTGTAAAAATGTATCACACGGTTAGATCAACAAGAAATTAGACAGAAGTATGTCGCTCCATGATGCCAACATAAAGTGTTTAAAAATGTATGCAAAATATTTCAAAATATCATGTTTATTTGACCCAACTAAAAGACGATGTGCAGTGACTTACAGAACAGATAGGACTAATTGACAGTTTGAATAACTGAACTCTATCTTCAAGAGAAAAAGAACTGAAGATTCAAAAGTGTGGGAAGACCAACATTTCGAAAACGGAAACCATTAGGTCCAAGGATGGTTATGTAAAACACTTGAAAGAGCTTTCATTCACTTTTCATGCCCCCTTTTGGGGGGAAGGGGGCTGGAGGGGTCCACAGCATACCTGGAGGGAGCCGCAGGCTGTGGTGACCACAACATGGGTACAGCCTTCTTCCTTCAAGGCACAGACGTTTGCTCGGTAGTTGACGTCACTTGGACGGATGGTGTGGCCTCGTCCATGCCTGAGAACAAAAGTGAACAATCTTATGAGCAAAAAGTAAGAACATTTTCACGATAAAGTGAGGCCGAAGAAATTTAAGGTTCTACGTTACATACGTAAGTGCTGGTGTTTTCAGAACAAAAGAATATGCTACTCATCTCTTCCAAGGCGGATGGTATTTGAAGATGCAGAACGATTCCTGGCAACAATGCCCTCAGGGCACAAAGCAGTGTGACTATTTACCTTGCCAGGAGAATGCAGTCCACACCCCCAATTGTCCCCGTTATCAGCACATCTGAAGGCTGTCAAGAAGGCAAGACCAAGGAACAGCCATTAATTTTGTGTCAACATTAACTGGAGAAGGTTGCTACTCAGTCAAAAAAAAACATAGATCCACCCTTTGTCCAAGAAAAGTTTCCCCATATTTTCAACATGGCACAGATGAAGTTTCAAACTTTTACTTCACTCCTGGGATACTTGTGCTCTTATGCACGGTTTGAATTCCTTTTTTTTTTTTTTTTTTGGTGAGATGACACTGGACTACAAAGCTGAAAATAGCCAAAAATTGGAATCTACATCTGTGCCAGATAATTTGCAAAAACACTTCCTGAAAATGTTGAGACATGGCGCTAACTTTTTAAAACCATAGTCTAACCAAATCTTTTCAAATCTGCCAAGAAGGCATGAAATACTTTGAAGGATTAATTAAAGAGGTATATCCCAGCTTTAAACCCCCTTTATGTTCAAATGTACATACCCCTATACATGTAATATAAGAATGTGCCAGTGGATTCCTACACACAGGAGAATTTTGGAGTAAAATGGAAGGTCCTAGCAAAAGATGGATAGAGAGTTAGGATGACAGTCAGGAAGTGTCAACCAAATCTCGGTGGTCCCACCTTTCCGTAGGGTGTTTCCACGGCCTTCTCCTTCCGATCTTGGACAATGTCCGGATCGTCCAATCCAGTTCCCCCGATGATTCCAACCTGCAAGATGAGGTTTGGGGAACAATTTGATAATGCTTTTCGCATTCTGGAGGTACTTGCAAAGCATGCTCAGTTGCTCATCACTAGGAAAAGAAGTGAAATATCCAAATGTATGCCTTCCTAAGATGCAACTGTTTAGTTAGGTACGACGTATGATGACACAGAGGACCCTCTTTGAATAGTTACATAAAGTGAAAGTCCTGCACCCTTTGCACTTAACTACCTGGCTAAATGACATCTAAAATGACACTGCTGTATGGACATTAATTACGACAGTGCTCCAGTTGGGCCCGCCCAAAATAATGTATTTGGCACAGTGTACCCGTGTGAGCCATAGCATGTGCCATCCTCATTTTGTATAGTGGGACTGATGCTATACATTGTTGATCATGTGATCAGTTAATTCATGCAATTAGTTGATACATGCAATCAGCTGATTTATGCAATCAGTTGATTCATGCAATCAGTTGATTTATGCAATCAGTTGATTCATGCAATCAGTTGATTCATGCAATCAGTTGATTCATGCAATCAGCTGATTTATGCAATCAGTTGATTCATGCAATGAGTTGATTCATTATGAAAGCCCAGACCTATATTTCCATTGAAAACAAATCATTTAAAAAAAAAAAAAAGAATGGCATATTAATTTCTCTAGATACCCAGCATGCCTACTCGTAGTCTTGGTAACCATAGAGCAAGGAAACCTTACTCAGTGGAGTAACTTATTGCTTATCAAACATTTGGACAGCAGCATTATCTCCTGATTATGTCCATTTGTAAGTACAATGGGACAATGAGGATTCCTAGCATAGGTGCACTAGTACAGTGCATGCAGGTCCTTTATCAGTGATTACATAGCCTCCCTGAAAGTTTGAACAAAAGCTTAAATTATTTATTATTGGGGCATTTGGGATTAATATAAACTTGATGCTACATGCATCCTGTACATGCAGGGTACGTTACATAGGTAGAACCAGCATGACCGCCAATGATTAGCAAAGATCAAGTGCGTAGAGCCAGGAGGTTGAATACAAGGAAAATAGTACACATATAAGTTACAGTATTTAATTCACTGCACATTACAGCCTACAGATGCATGATGCAGCCCTCTTACTGCACAGGAATGACATGAATTGTTCTGACATTGAGTGTAATGAACTAAAATACTAGGCAATTTAGTAGGATTCTTTCCAGTATCTTTTGAGATCTACGGTTGACTGGTTGAGTGATTCTCCTCAAGTATGCACAAAATGACGATTCTTTTTAATAACGGATTTTACACTTACACCGATGTTTATTCATAACACTCTATGCTCAGTGTTTGTCCAAGAGCTTGTGAAGAAATTCACTCGTAACTTCACTCCTGCGTGTTAAGCCGATTTAACAATTAGTACTAGGCCTACCCATGATAGGCCTGCATTAAGAGCGTGATGTACCATCATGTATGGGTAGGGAGTCCGGCACTTTTCAGGTTTTTTTGTTTGACCCCCACAAATTTAGTACCATCGGAAAGAAAATTCCAAAAGAAATTGAATGGTATAAAATTTAGCTCAATAGCTGTAGGTATAGCTTCTAGATATAAAATTTAGAGGTGCCGTTTTGCTGGACTCCCTAATATGGGTGATTTTACACAAAGTGGTACTGGTAAAGTGATAATGTGGTATGGCAATTGTAGGAAGGAAACAGGAGTGAACAATGTTCTTTTAACATTGTACAAAATCACCTATGCGATAATATTAGCAATAAAGTTTACAGCTAGCAATGCACCTCTCAGATACAAGTTCATGCCTAAATGTTCATTCACACTTCAATCACAGGTGCACTGGGACTGCGATCATCGTGTCGTGTCAGGTGTTTTGGCTATTCAGATTGTGACATGCCACGTCATGGGGATATATCACCAAACAAACTAGAACATACCTTTATTTTAGACATTTTTTTACACAAAATCAGCCTCGGATTCCCTGTGAAAAAAAGTGTGGACGGCCCCAACAAACTGCCGCCTTTGTACTTTGAAGTTCCGGGGATTGGAGTATCAAACTGCACGCACACACGTACCCAGCGAGCACTAAGCTAGATCAGTTGAATGCGAGTGCACGGTGACACCACTGATTTCTATGGGGCCGTTTTCCAATACTCAACTTCGTCTCCGTTCAGGCTTCGTTCCCAAAACCAATCCCCGCCTTTGGGACTTAAATTACATCAAATAACTGTCGTTTTGGGTTTTCTCGCACCTTATTTGATGTTCTATGGCACTATTAGACTGATTACTGCGTTTATACAGGTTCAAAGTCAGCAAGTAAAAACAGTTGAAGCCGGAGACGGAGCCGAAGTTGAGTATTGGAAAACGGCCTGGGTGACACCTGTCACCTCAGACACGAACGGGTCGCAGAGTGCACACAGGGCACTAGACACGCGGCATTGCAGACACGTTGACGTAGACTTCATTTCAAGTCGTTGATTTAAGATTGATCATCTTCTCCGTATTCTGACAAAATTCAAAAATTAGGTGAATGTGAAATATAATTTGAATTCTATGAATAATTATGAAGTACAAGTCGAAAAGGGTTTGCATTCCTTTCCACGTATCAGGCATGCGATTCACACAATATGTTCAAAAGATCAATGGTAATTCAAATGAGGTGGCCGAGGATGGGTAATATAAACAAAAGCTGGAAGGAGTCAGCATCTTTTCAAAGTCGAAATGAAACGAGCCCCTTTTGTATAAATGGGGGTAAGGAATGAGGTTTATAAACTGCTGACTAATATAGAGTGATGGGCGGGAACCCTCTTCGACTTTTACTTCATTATTATTCATAGAATTCAAATTCTATTTCATATTCACATAATTTTTGAATTCTATTACATACCGTAACACTTCGTACAAGTCTTCAGGGGGTTTGCATATTTAAAGCTTATTCGCAAAGGGGTGGGTTTAACAATGCCACATAAATCGTGACTTGACCAAAAATCAAATTGCTGGGGAGAGCCATTAGGAAAGCATCGCTCCTGGGAACATAACAAGAGACACCTTTATGTTGCAATGAATGTGCAATGAGCTCTCCAAGTCAATTATATTAATAATCAAACAGGTACTTTTAATCTCAAATCAATCGGATATGCATCCAATAAATTCAAATTTAAACAAAGATTAAAAACATATTCAAGTTACTGGGGAGTTTTAAGTTTCTCATGAAAGTTCCCCACAATTTTGTGTGGTTTAACTAATAATGTGCCTGTACTAACAATCATGTCTGTAGGGGACATGGGGAAGGCAAATACTTTCTATGGATGGTCTT